ATTTCCGGATTTTTTTGCTAAATGGTAAGCACCCTCTGTCTCCCAATCACTCTTTACGCTAAGAAAAAAAACAAAAGCCTGTAGACGAGGCAGTTCAGGTGGCTGAACTATAAGAGGAGATGAAGAGTAAGCGAGTTTATCCCCTATACGAATCTTATTCCTAAGGTCATCTCTCTTGAGTTATTTTTAGATCACTTCCGGCTTCAGAACTCCCGGGAGAACCTTGAAATAGCCAATCCTGTGAAATGAATTTTGGTGGACAGTTCAGGCGCCTTACACGCAATTCCATCCTCCACGAAACGCGCGTGGTAACATTATTAAGTACCAGGTCTAAAAATAACTCGAGAGAGATTACCTTGCGAATAAGACCTATACGAAGGATAAACTCTTTTTCCCTTTCATCCTCTGCTACTGCATTATAAAGGCGCTTGTTCGACTAAAAAAACAAGGTCCGCAATGCGTACTTGTGAGCTTATGCTTAGTTTGATTCTATTCGATTGGAGTGTTGATTTTAAATGTCTGGGAGTTGAATTGCTACAAGTTAGAAGGAAATCACTAGAAAGATAAAGGTGTAGAAATACGTGACTCAAGTGATTGACGAGTTTAACATCATAAGTGACAAATCACTTTTAATTTTGGCGCGAAATTTCAGCGTTAATTTATAATTTCACTTGTGAAATTACAAAATTGCTATGGCAACGTTTAGCGCGAGATGTCTCTACACAATAAAAAAGTCAAAAACCCAAAATTGTACGCGTAATTTGTCACCTATGATATTTAAAGGTAATCAGCTGATATACTCGTAAAATTAAGTAATCATTTCACTTGCGTTTTGTCTCATGCTTATTTGCAGTTTCTCTGCTGCATACCAGTCTTTCGTGAAGACCAAGAAACCGCAACACCTCCGCCTGTCGATAATGCAGGCGCAAGAAATTCTTCAGCACGAGTCCAAGTTTTACGCCAAATATGGTAGAAGACTGAGCACTGACGTGAGCACCAATAACGTGAGTAACGCTGACTCGGACAAACAGACCGAAAATCAGGCGTCACGCTTCAGTCACGCAAGCACCGGGACGTCTCCAAAGGCAGTTCAAAGCAGAGCAACAGTGCAACAGCTTAGCATTGCTAAAACGGGTCACGTTAAAGGGGTAGGCTTAAAAAGAGATCAAAGGGAATCGATTGTTTGCGATGTCAAACGTGAGGAAAATATTGAAAAACGAGATTATACGAGTCACGATCAACTACTCGCACCCGCTGTACTCGCACCATATCCGTCGCCTGCACGACGACACGACGACAACCCGACCGATGCCGATCTCGATGCGGTTGAAAGTAGACAAAAGGGCCGAAGTTGTATCAACGAAGGAAGCCGAGTAATCGAGGCTCGACTGCAACCGAAGCAGGAAGAATCGCTAAAAAGACAGAAAGAGAAAGAACAAACAGAAAACCACGAGAGAGAAAGAGTCAAGTTTCTCAAAGAACTGGAAGATAAAGAGCGTCAAAAGATTATCACAGAATACCTACACCACGTGTATTCACATCACGGACAAACACAACCTCAGACTGCTTATAAGAAAGGTGAACACGACACACGCCCCTATAAGGTGTCCAAACAGGGGCGTGTCTATTCCATGAGCACTCGACCACAAGAGGAACCTAGTCCTGATGTACCCCACTTGATCACAAGCCCCGCGCCCATCTGGCACCAGACTGCTCGGGGTTCGCAGGGAGACAAGAAAATCTCTTTCAGGGCAAAACAAGGGGTTACTGGCACCAATGGGGTACGATTCTTTAACGAGTGGAATAACAGTCTGTTTACAGATTATATTAACAGTTCAGATGGGAAAGCGAAAATGGGAAAAGAAAAGGACAAACTACAGGTAAAAACAATTCTTTTATGTAGGCGACTCTTTTGCCAGCGTAGTAGGTGACCGCTTTCGACATATTAAAATTGAGCTTGATACTGAGGCCTAGAAGACACAAACAAAAGAAATGAATAAATATGTCATTCAATTCCCTTTGTTTGTGTCCTCCTAAGCCTCTCTGCCAAGCTGAATTACAGTCTATTCGAAAGAATAGGTTTGAGAACAGACTACTACCCAGTCGCTATTTATGGGTCAGATTGGATTGTTTCAAAGAGAAAGCCGTCTGGATCGAGTGGAGCGCGTGGGGAGGTATGGGAAGAGGTACAAAAATTAGCGATCCAACCCATGACGCTCCGCGAGCCTTTATTCAACCTAGTATCCAATCTTCTCTCCCCCAAAACACCTAAAGCGACTGGATACTAGTCTGGTTTGAGAAGGAGCGTGAATTGGGAAAGAGAGCACAAACAGGGAGGGGCCTGGGTTTCGTTCTAATTGTTTGGATGTTTAGATAAAACGTTTGAAAACAGTACTTCATCTTTGTTTTTGTTTTCGAAGGACCCAAGTTACTGGATTGAACAACACCTTGACGGAGTCCTGGACGAGACATCGGTCAGAAGAGGTCTACAGCACCATCAGCAACTTATACCAAGGGAAACTTGACCGATGTTACATGACGTAGTGCTTAAAACTGTTTTTACTCGCATTAGTGGGGTTAAAGACCAATGTTTTACATCGGAAAGACTTTAAATTTCTCACGAATTCAAAGACTTTTCTAAAACAGTATATGATCGTCCGAGATCGATTTTCTAACTTTTTTAAAAATGTTGAAAATAGTTTTCTCACCAAGAAAACTAAAATGTTAAGCTATATTGAATGAAACAACAAAGTAGAGTATTTTTTTTTAACGGAGACTTGTAGAATAATAAGAATTAATCCACAAAATGAAACAAGTTTTAAAGAGTCACTCATTAAATACAATAATCCAACATCTTTATTCAATTTCTTCAAACCCAATACAACCTCTAAGTTCAAAATGGTATGTTTTGTATTTGAGAGTAAAAATAAATTACTAGCATATATACACGAATTTTAATTTGTCATAACTGCGTTTATATAATCCTTGAAAAGTTTTCTTTCGTCTTGAAACAAGAGAGGCTGAACGAGATGAGGTTCAATCCCAGTACAGGCGTTATTCTCGAGGAAATCCCTCTTGAGTCTCTTTTCGACATGGTACCTAGTCCTCCCGCGGTAATGTTACCACGCGCGTTGCGTGGATGTTTCCGCTTGGGCTGTCCACGTGAGTAAATCCACGTCACATGATTAGCTATTTCTAGATCCTTCTGGGATTTCTGAAGCCTAAAGTGATCTAAAAATAACTTGAGAGGGATTACCTCGGGAATAAGACCCTGTATGGAGGATTGGCTCTTACTCTTCATCCTCTTTCATTTGAAAAGATTCCCCGTTTGTAAACGCAACTCTCTTTGTTTGTTCTAACGAATAATTTGGGTAATGAGCCCTGGGGCTTGCACTTATTCAAAGGTCTTTTTGGGCGGTTTAGAACAGATATTGATGGTTCGGAAAATGTTTGAAAGGAATGTCGTGCCCGGAAAATTGTAGATGGGTACAAGAATACCGAGCGGTAAAACTTCCTAAACACAAAGACACGAACTCAAAACAAGATTCCTATGGGTTAATATCGCTAGAGAATTAGTGAGCGGGAAGCGGGGGGGNNGGGGGGGGGGGGGGGGGGGGGGAGTGTTAAGGATGAGCTCATTTTCAGGGCGATATAATATACCTATACCCAAAATATGGTATAGGTATGGGTGATGTAGCAGCTGTCGTAAGGTCTCACATGAATGGCTTGCTACCGTTTGAGAGAACAACAGAACAAACAACAGAAACAATGCCCTTAACCCTAAAACAATAATAACAGCTCCTAACAATGAAGAGAATTACAAGCTTACGAGAGCAGCTACACTTCTGATAGGTATATCGTAGTTTTATATAACGAGACATTTTCCACAAGGGACTAACTTCTGATTATACATACAGTGAAACCACGCCTTACGATTTCCACATAATAGTACCTCGCTATTGTGACTTCTTTCTTTTGTTCCGACCGTTGGTGGTAGGATCAATGTTTTAGGATAAAAAGTCCTACACATTTAAATAGACCATTTCCAAGTTACCTTGTGCCTCTGTTTCAAAACGAGTCTTCGTTAAAAACATTTCATAAGAAAATGAGTTTGATTTGCATGAAAATGATCGTGTAGGCGGAAACATTTCCATATGAATGGTTTCGTACGTACAGTGGTTTTGACACAGAGGCAAAAGGTAACTAGGAAATGGCCTATTTCTCGTGAGCGGCCGACTGCGGGGGGAGAGGGGGGGGG